AATGTGGCTCTCTGTACCTGCCGCAAACTTGAGCAAATGTCTAAAGTGTATAAGTTGAAGAAAGAACACATCAAGGAAAACACTCCTTCAAAAAGGACAAACTGAAATCAATACAAACCTTTTTATTCCTTACCTGAAACAATTTTTTTCTTTTCTGTATTTCTGTGCATATCTAATTCTCTGATCTCAGTGTTTCTCATTATCAGCTTACCTTATTAAAGTCATGAGAACATGCTTACGGATGCATAAATTCCACAGGTTAATTTTTGGAAGACAAGATTTGCTAATGAGAAAGTGTAGAAGCAGGTTAATGAGAATTTAACATTTCTCAAAATAGGGCAAAAGTTGGGAACTCAGATAAGGTATATTAAAATGTTAGGTTATTTTCTTGAATGGATAAGACATAAATGGAACCTCTGAATCCGCAGCCACCATTTCAAAATTATAATTGTCAATTTGGCATATGAGAAAGGTTTTCAAAGATTAATACATAACAATTTTTGTTCTATTTCCTATACATTTCTAAGAAAAACTATTAGAATGTGTGCCCTTGGGTTGGACCTGGATGCTGTGAGGGGGCAGAATGTCCTTATTGGGCCCCTGAGGGATGCTGTCAGAACTCAGTGAAGTTATCTTCTTGTGGTTGTGCTGCTGAGGACACTGGGTGCAGAGGCTGGGCTGGGGCAGCTGGGCAGGACCAGCTCCTACCTAGCCTGTTCATCTTTGCAGGGGTAGCACAATGCCTCTCTACTGGTGACTTTATGATAGCTCTATTCTTTTTAAAAATATTTTCATTAGTTGTAGATGGATCTTTATTTTATTTGCTTCTTTATACGTGGTGCTGAGAATAGAACCCATTGTCTCACACATGCTAGGCAAGCGCTCTACCACTGAGCCACAACCCCAGCCCCATGTTAGCTCTATTCTTAAGTGATAAGATAAACTGCACACCCGCCCCTCCCCCAAGGCTGAGTGACTGCACTCTCTCAGCTTCTCTCTGTGGCCACTTCCAAAATGAGCTGGACACCTCAGGCACCAGATCTCTTTTCTTTCATTGATGCCATTTCCATGGACTTTTGCATTTTTAGCAGGTCAGTTAACAAATATTTACAGAGCATCCACTATGTGCCAGACTAACAACCAGAGAGGAATTTTAGAGTAAAAAGAAAAATTAGGTGAGGAAGAGAAGAAGGAATGGAAAGGCAAGAAATGGGAAAGGTAAGAAGTGACAAAAATACTTGGAATCTCAAAGAGGGAGTCTGTAAAATTTTTACAAGAACTGAACTGGTCTCTAGTCTCAACCTCCCCCACTTGCCCTTCCCACTCACCCCTCCCAGAATCCAAGCAGGTGTGATAAAAGCAAATGAAGGTGATAAAAGAACAATTGTGGGGTAGCTCTCAGGAGGCCAAGCAGGACAAATCGCCTCTTGAAGAGAGCAGCATGTCACCATTATCTAGTTTGCAGATGGACCACCCAGAAAATCTGGAGCAATTAGGAGGGAAACAAACAAAGGGTGGGTGCTGAGGCGATAGCCATGTCCCCATGCTATATTGTAGCCAGCAATCCCACAGTGCAGCACAGGGAGGAGAAAAGGAATCAGGCTGTAACCATGTGGGTGCATGCCCACACACATATACACCCTCATACACAACATGTGCATGCACACACAATCACATCAACTACAAAGTTGTGCAAATAACCAAGGGACCAGAACAGAGATTTTTTTCAAAAGAAACCCCATTTAATTCTGTCTTCTGGTATGCACTGGAACATTTAAAAGTGAATTTTGAAAAGGATAGGTAGATTTTTAAAATTATGTTCTCAGAGGGAGACCAGTATAGTAGTGGAAGGGAACCAGGGAGAGAGAGGAGGGGAGGGAAAGGGTAAATACTAGGGAAGGATATTGACCAAATTATATTGTTATACTGCGTGTATATACAAATATGTAACAGCGAATCCCACCATTGTGTATAATTATAATGAACCAATTAAAAAAAAAAAACAAACAAACTAAAGCACCAGAAAAAATAAAGTTATAAATCCACATTCTAGGGGTAAAAAAAAAAAAAAGTTTTGAGGGTTGGGAATGTAGCTTGCCCAGCAATTGTGAGGCCTTTGGTGTGATTTGCCAGCACCACTACACATACAAAATAATTACTTTCTTTTTATCAACAAGCAAAGATGGGGCTCATGTTCTCTTTTAGGATTGACAGCCCAGGCAGGATTCCCTTCAATATCACCACTCTCTGGCCAAACTGGATACTCACAGCTGCCATGCTGCATCCCCGTGAGGGCTCAGGCAGCCTGCTGTGTTGTTGTGTACTATCTCATAAGCCTTAGGCAACCCACCCAAAGTATTCTCATCATATGACCATCTTGCTCAAGGTCACACAGCTAAGCGACTCAGAATTCAAATGCCGTCTCCAGATCACTGAGAAATCTCCCTCTAAACTGAGTTGGTTTGTTTCTGCACAGTCTTGCTTGTGCCTCTGCATTCATGCCTCTCTAGCTGAAATATACTCTGATTGCTGCTCTCTACTCATTCCTTCACTTCCTCAAAGCCTTGCTGGCCATCCCATCTCCAATATGAATTCTTTCTTGGTAACACCAGGCAGATGGCCTGTTGCTGACTCTTCTGAATGTCCTCATTATTGACCCCAGGTCCAGAACTCCAAAAGCCCTGCAACATATCACAGCAAGCTTGTGAAAGCACATTCTCTTACCGCATTATAGGCAATGCTTTCCTGCAAAATGTAGTTTAGGATTTAGAGTTTAGAATTTTGCTTTGAAATTCCCAGTTTACTTAGAAATTACTTATGCCTGAGCCAGGTGCAGTGATGCATGCACCTGTAATATGAGCTATTTGGGAGGCTGAGGCAGGCAGATCACAAATTCAAGACCAGCCTGGGCAACTTAGTGATACCCTGTCTCAAAATAAAAAAAAAATTAAAAAAAAAGGGCTGGGGATATGGCTCAGTGGTGAAGCAACCCTGGGTTCCAAACCCAGTACCAAAACCAAAACAAAAAAATTAAATTACTTATGTTTGTTTAGCAATCCTATTATGCTTAAGAATTCACGAGGTGCAAGAAGGCCTATAGACTGCTTCCAAATATGATAAAACTTATTGTGCTTATTAAGTTTTTAACAGGTATTGAGACAGGTAGACATTTTATAGAGCTTTTAAACATTTTCCAATTTCAATTTGCTGTGGTTCCCCTAGCTCAACTTTGAAACCTACAAATGGAATTTTTTTTTTTTTTCAGGTCTCAAAAGAATGCTGCAAGTTCCTGAAAATCCGGTAGGCACCACGTTCCTGCCTCCACTGTCTGACAGATAAAGCACCCTGCCTATGCCTTAGTCTGGTGCTGTACTGCGCAGTGGCTACATGCAGACCTGCTTGCTGTAAACTCAGCCCCCTGTAAATTCAGCCTCCACATATTCACAGTTTTAAATTTATCGAAAACAGTAATTTTTGTCTTGGTGTCTAGTAATTTTTTATGGTAATTAGCATGACTACCACACAATGAATGCTTAAAGTACTCACTTATTAGAAAACAAGCCTTAAATAAAACCCCAAACCACAACTTCAACTATATCCTCTAAAATCTCTTTCCTAAAACATCTAGTTATTTGAAATAATATTCCTAAAAACTTCTCAAAATATTTGTTCTCCTTCTTTTAAAAAAAATCTGCTTTGTCTTAATTTCTTTAAAAAGATAGTACAATATCCAAATAAGTACAATATAAAACAAAACAAAGCAGGAATCTCTAGATTTATTAATCTTCTAGATCTTTGTTTCATTAACAGCTACAGACTTCTTTTTAAGCAATTAAAAGGAAAAATGGTACAGAATTTTCTAGACATTTCATATACCCAAGATAGCATTGGCTTTCTAGTACTCAGATGTTCCTAGTCCCAAGGAAATCTGCTTCGGTAATACAGCTTTCAAACAAATGCAATTAACAACATTTTAGTCTATATGATGAAATAAATACTACTCACACAGCATACTGCTAAGTGCTGGAAAGAGCAGGCTGATCCTCCAAAAGGCAAGGACAGCCAGCAGCAGCTTCTGTGTCATAGTTCCCAGGAACTTTTTCAACTCAATAGAAAAGAGTAATTCATCAAAACAACCCCCAACCCCAGGTACAATTGAAGTAGTCTGTAACAGACTTACACAAGTAAGTAAAAATATGCTTTATTCAGCATACACAACTTCATGACAGATGCTCAACCTTGGGTACAATGGTTGGGTCTGAAATTAAAAGCCTGACTTTAAGATCCTCTTTGGTAAGACTGCTAAACATGCACTCTTCCACCTTGAAATAGCATGCTTCAATGTCAATTCTCTGCATGTAGTTTTTTTGTTCATGCCGGTTTTAATTTGTATTTAAGGTATCCCCCAAAAGCTCCTATGCTAATGTGGGCGGTACAATGATTAGATAATGAGAACTGAAACTATGAGTCCATCCTGGTTCAAATGGCCTAAGTGGGTGGTAACTAAAGGCAGGTGGGGTGTGGGAGAAGAAAGTTGGTCCCTGGGAGTGTGTCTTTGGCCCCAGTGCCTCAGTCTCTTTCTCTGCTTCCTGGTTACCATGAACTGAGTGGCTTCCCTCCACGCTTTTGCCATGATGGTCTACTTCACCTCAGACCCAGAGCAATGGTTGACCGTGGACTGAGAACTGTGACACAATGAGTCAAAATATACATTTTCTCCTCTAAGCTGTTGTTGGGTATTTTAATCACAGCAACAAAAAGCTGACTAATACAGTGTCCAAACTCAATAAAACCCCCAGTCGTATACGTGGGACTGGGCCAGATAAGTCAGAGGGTACAATCTAAATTTCACTGTGATGACGTTCTTAGACAGTAACCCAAAAGCTTAAATCTGAGCACGCTGCTCTCATCAGAAACAGAGATGAAGAAACACAGGAAGGAGACTAGGGAGGAGGGCCAAAAGCGCTATGTCCTTTACATAATCCGATGGAACTACCCACCTCTTTCCATTACTGTCCCGCAGCATTGCTTTCCCCATCACTCTGGTCTTGGTTTCCAGCTCCTGTACCTCCTCCAGCAACGTCTTTTTGTAGGTATGCTTGGCCCTGTATCAGGAGGAAAAGAAACGAAGAATATGGCCTGTCAACTTGACACATCTGGGAAGACTGGTCACCTCCTGCCCACCACTCCTGGATGCCCTCTGGACGAGGCAGAAACTCCAGAAGATGTTCTAAGTCTTCTTTCTGTGGTTCCTTGATCCTTACCCAACAGCCATCAGAGAGCCCAGGGGTTAGCAGTGCCTCCTCCTTGTTTAGTGTGAGAAGGGCCACTGTCATAGCAGTAATGGGGTTTATGATACCAGAGTACTATCTTTTATTTCCTTGTTAAATAAATCTTGCATCTGTGCCCTGAAATTTTTAAACAATTGAGCCTAAACAAAGCTAAAATTGAGCTACTGGTCGGAAATGATATAGATGGGAAAAAAAAAAAAAGATATTTCACAAGGTGTAGACTAGATGAGGGAAAAGGAACATGGTAAAATGAAAGGCCTCATATATTAGCAATACTTTCCAGGGAAAGTGCTGCATTAGTTTCTTTTCAATATAAATAAAGGTGAGAACTCCAAGATATAAAAAGAACAACTGAGCACATCTGTACAGAAGTGAAAACCATGATCTGGGAACATTCTGACGATATGGGCTATTTCTGCAGAATCACATTCTCCTGCACCTGACTTCTGCCTTCAAGGACAGAAAGCCTGTTAAGATAAGGCCGAGTCATCTAACACTCCATGTTAATCTATAATGGTGTATTAGCACCAAGACACTGTATATGCGTCTGTCATCCTTTCCCACAAAGTAAACAAGAGAAAAACCACACAGGTTTTAACACATAATACCTTAAATACTTTAAACAGTGTCCCAAGACTCGGGATTGATAAAATACCACAGTTCAAAGCAGACTCTGTGGAATTTTAATTTAAGCAATAAATGAGAAAACAGCCAACATCTTGCAGGAAAGGAGATAGTTGCAAAGGATGTTAAAATGTGTACTGTTCAATATTACTGAATAGCTGGGTCCCAAACTTTACCTTTTATCTCCTGGGCTTATGGGATTATATTGATAACAAGCCAACTGAGCAGCTTATTATCAGAGTCCCCACCCCATTCAGAGTCATCCCACATATATAGGTTCCAGAACTCATGTCTGGCTAGTCCTGAACAATGAATATGTGTTCTCACTTTTTTCAGGACCATCCTCACTCCATCATCCTATCTTCCTCCTGCACAGGACTGTCAACCTCTAGATCAGCCCCCACTGTTAACTTCAGGACCATCTGTATCAAAGTGTCTCTCAGTAATTTGATAATATACCCACTAGGCTGGCTCCTGTGAGCTGGCCTGGAAATGCTACTGCTATTTGGGAACACAGTATTGCAATGCTGGGAATGATCAGGCTATTCTTTGTGCAGGTAAACACCTGGATAAGAAGGATGCTAGCAATTTGAAACCATTTTCTGGAGCACCTTTTCCTAATAAGGTTGAATTAGAAAAATGAGTCTGAAATCTTCGTTGTCAAAGTCTACATGAATAGACAAAAATTTCAATTACGGGTTATTAAGGCAGACTTCTAAGTATTAGCCACTGGTGTGTAATTTAGGTTTCATTGTAAGCCAGGTTCTGGATTGCAGCTTTGACAGAGAATAAGCCCAATTATCTGTAAAGGGCTTATCCCCAGTGTCCCAAGGCTTGCTGTTTGTCACCCCACTCAAGACGCCAGAGACCACAGAAGGGTCAGAGTGAGGGTGACTGGTTACTGACAGGGAGTCCCTTTGAGCTTTCAGATACAGCTAAGGGTATCTCTTAAAAGAAATAGCTTGGTTTAGGATCTTGAACTTTTCATCTTTGTGAAATGTTTTTCTGTTCTCTTTTTGTGTGTAAAGACAGCAAGTCTGAAGGAAATGTTAAATTCTAACTGTAGATGAAAATGGAAATACAATGTACTTCAAGAGAAACTAGTTTAGTTAGAATGTT